AGCTAGTGATTCAATTTCACTTGCCAAAATTTATTTATAAAGGGCAAACTATTTTAAAACAACTTTTTAAATCTTAAATTTGATAATAAATACAGTTTGAGAAAAATTGAAATTTATATATTTTTTCAATTTTTCTTGTAAGCCATGTAATATTGGGTATCCAATACCGCTAATAAAATATTTATTTAAAGCCCCACTCTTTTCGAACTGTGTGTGTGGAGCACAAGACTCTCGTGGTGTTCTTCATGTGGCAGCAACAAACGGAAACGTTAATGCCGGCAATATAATAAAGGATAATGCAGCAGGAATTGCAACCCCGCGCCGGCATTCCTTGCTATACTAAACAGCCCGGCACAACTGAAATGACAATAAACAAAAATGCAGCAGCACCACAACAACAACAACAACAACAACAAGAACAACAACAAGAACAACAACAATTGTTGGGGCGGAGAAAGCTGAAAAACAGAAAGTTGGTAAGAGTTCGAGGTTAGATGTGGAGATAGGGAGAGATAGGGAGATGGTAAGATGGCAGGATGGCAGGATGGCAGGATGGCAAGATGGCAAGATGGAAAAGGCCAGGAATGGCAAAGGATGGCAATTTGGAATGGCTGAAATGCTGCTCTCGTTGTTTGGCCTTTTCATTTCTTCGTCCCGCTTTCGTTTCGTTTCGTCTCGTTTCGTTTGCGTTTCTCGTTTTTCGTTTATTGAATTCGCAGCATGGCAACAATGGCAACAATTTCTGTTGCATACTTTTTAGAGCCACTTTCTGAACCACCCAGTGGAACAGCAACCGGCACACCAAACCTAAGCCCAACCCACCCACTCAACCACTCACCCAGTGAAGCACCACCCAGTTTAGGAAATCCATGGCCAGCGAATTATAACAACAATGTGGCCAAAAGCAACAGATTTGCCCTGGCAAATAACATTATAAACTATGCAGGACGGCATATAGATGGCTGCAAATTATTAAAATATCATTGATATGCATGCCATTTTTGATGTACTTCAGCTTTGGCTTGATTGCCAGTGGATTCCGATGGCAATCGGTCAAGGCTCTTGCGAGTATTTCGATTCATGTAACAGATTTCGATGAAGTGGTGCCACCACAAAATTCGCAAGCTGTCTAACTAAATACAAAGCTATCGATTACGTGAACAAAAGCATGAAGTATCAGGTAAAGTGTTCAGATAGATAGATAGATTGGGAAAATATTGCACCGATTATGGTTTATTAAAATAGATACCTAAGCCATAGAAACCCTTTTGTGAGCAACGAACATTGCAATCTAAAAGTTCTGAGAAAGTGCTTCTACAAAAGATAGGTTTTTTTTAAGCTCCGTGACCACAGGCAACATTCCTCCGTCAAATGACAATATCAGTGTCCCATAAGTACCGAGAGCATTGCATGCAACGAGATTACAAGCCACCGGGATGCATAATCCTTTAAACGGGCATTCCGACGTTGAAACCTGTTCGTGTTCCAATTGGAATGGGACAACAATGTCCCGGCAGCATTTAGTCGGTTTGTTTTTGCCGGCTTTTGTTGGCTGCGGATCCGGATCGTCCGGGATGACAAGACCATTACGGTGGCGGAATGGAAAGATAACCGATTTGCTTTCGTTGCCCTGGTCGCAGCAGCAAAAACAATTACGGCTAAATCAGATGACAATGGCCGGGGTCTAAAAATACAACCACGGCAACGAGATAACAACGGAGCAGCTCTCGATGCTCGAACCGTATTCGTATTCGTATTCGTATCTGTGAGATAGATGTGTTTTAAAGTAAGTAACTGGGCAAGGCTCCTTTCTTGGCCGGAACCCAAACACCCAAACACCCAGCACTTGGAACACTCCCGAACACCCCCGCATCGGAACCCAGTGAAAAGGCTAAACACAATGGAAGAAATGTGGGCGGTGGGGAAAAAGAAGGGGGCGGGTCAGTGCCACCGCTACCAAAGTCGTTGAAATGAAAATGAAGATGAAATAAAATGGAAAGCACAAACACGAGAAAAAACTAAAAAATTTTCTATGCTGTAAACGAAATTGAAAATGAACAAGCGGAGCGAACACGGACATGGACATGGGAAGCGGACACCGGCACACAAAGACAGACACACTTACACGGACACGGACAAGGACACGTATATGGACACGGACACGGACACGGATACGGACACGACCGGCACCCGGACGGAGGCCCCTGCACTGAGAGAAAGTAAGCAGTTGCTCAAGGAAATGCGGGAATGCAGAGCGATCGAAAGAAAACAAAAGGTTCTGCATTAATTCATAAACATACGAAATTCTGGAGCTAAAAGGTACGAACATATCGTTAAAAATAGTCTAATTAAGCGGCTTATTAATATCGGAAAATGTGGTGGGAAATTTTCCGCGGTGCAAGCACGGCTTGGTAACGTTGACATGGAATGTATGGGATTGTGTGCACTTCGAAGCGTTGGAGGCGTTGGCAAACAGCGCTGAGTGCCAGGATGTAGGAGTCAATGGGTGCGCTTGTATGTGTGTGTGTGCGAGAGAGGATGCTCATGTATGCGATGGTATGTGTGTGTAAGGTGACTCAATGGTTTGTGTGCTTTTTTTCCCGCTCTTCCTTTCTTGTCTTGGAAATTGCGCTCGTCTTGTAATGAGCCGCAGAATGGAAAATCCGAAATGGAGAGCGAAAGCAAACTCTGATGAGCTGCGTCTTAACTAACCAAAATGCAGGGCGGACTTTTGGGGGAGTTGCCTGAACAGGTGGGCGTATGTCAGGGGTGGCCCAACAAGGGTGGTGAAAGGGGGGAGGGGGAGGCGACACAGTCCTCACTAGAAATCGCTTAAAAGCAAATTGCGCTGAAAAGCAATCAGCGCATAAGTGCAATACAAATACAAACAAGTTTATTGCTTTTCCCGTTGTCCTCGCGGTCTTTCCGGTCAGGATGCCTTCTAAATGAGAGCGGGGAGCGGGGGGAGGGGGGCATGGTCGCGAAAGAGGACGTGGCAAGTTGGATTGCATAATGAAATGAGATGCCTGAATGGAAGCAGTATGTCCAAAGTGTCCGACCAGCGCACTATTTACTGGCATGATATACGACGGTTATTAGATCCGATGTGCACCATCTTCAGTTCAGAAGATTTAGCGCGGCAAATTCAAATTTAATGCCGCCATCCAGCTCGGAAATTTATGGTTTCCACTTGGTCAAAAGCCTGAACGATGGCAGAAGGATGAGGAGCCGTTGAACTCAAATTGGATTTCACTGTTTTCATTTTATGAAGCTTAAGGCGAAAACAAGTTCGTCAAAGTGAAACTATGATTAGGAATTTAGTATGCAGGTATTTTGATGGTGTTTTTGTTAGGGCAACAGTTAAATTTGAGCTTACTAAACAACCAATACAATCAAGAAATCAATTATCAAGGAATTATCAAGAAAACTATATATGTATTGCTGACTTTAAAGGTCAGTTAACAATGTATATATTACTTCAAAAGTTCATTAATAATTATCTATATAATAGCCATTATTTTTGTTGTAATACCAGCTCGTTACTCTGCTTAAAGGCATTTGTAACGACCAATTATGTTGGAAAACGTGAAAACCCTTGATGGAATGTCAAATCCAGTGCTTGATGGCATGCGAATCCGTAATCCACCGACCCGCCAAAACGGAGGCCATAATCTCGGGCAATCAAATTGTGGATTGCAACGCATAACATAACACATTACGGCGTTGAACAAACAAGCCGAAACAAGGACGAGAAACATTAAGCCCTCATCACTCGAAGGACTCTTACTTCTGCCCCTGCTCCTTTTTCCCACTCCCTGATGCTGCTGTACTGCGCTCCTGCCTCTGCTAGCTGGCCAAAAACAAACTGTCGACACCTGCCATGAGTGATCACCGCTCGCGGCTCGCATTACAATGCAAATAAGTTGGGGGTCGGCGCGGGTTATATTGCCCATATGGCCGCCGGAGTTGCCAACAACTCGTAACCCACTCGACGGAGCAAAAATACGGCAAACACATTTAGCCCGTAATGGACTTTTTTTATGGCATTTATAAGCGCACCGAACGCCAACGTCTCCCTGGGAGACAGACACACAGTCAGACAGAACAGACAGAACAACTTTTTTCCATAGTGAAGGTAATGCCGTCGAGTGGCTCGGCTCGAAGTAAAAGATCGAAATAAATTAAACTAGCATTGAGGGCCCTTCGAGTCGTACGAGAGCGACTTGGGATGGGGAAAATGCGTGCAGCAGTATGAAATATTTAAGCACAATCAACCGACACCCATGGAGAAAACGCACTTCCGGTGAATATCTGAGCGATTTTCCATCGCGTGCGGATTTTATAGAGTCCCTGCTAGAAGATTTCCCAAGTTTTTCACGAGTTTTTGTTCTTTTAACTTAAGTTAATTGAAAACCAAATAACAGCATTGGTTTTTGTTGAGCTATTTCCTATTTTATGAGTCTTATATAACTTTTGAAAAATGAATTCATTAGCATAACCTAGGTATAGTGGCAGTTCATTAATTTTTAATTTCCCCTTTTGTATTAATAATTAAGGAACACTTACTAAACATGTGTTTTTCAGGCTCCAACTTTTACCAAACTTTTTGCTTCCAAAAACCTGTATTATTTTTCTATTTCTAAGAGTAGACATAACCTTTCTCTTTTTGGAAGGGTTTTTCTGTGGTTCAGGTTTATGTTTTTGTTTACGATTACACAGCTAAAAATACAAATTATATTTCTGCAGTTTCTTAATCGTTATAAAGGACAAACAAATATTTGTATGAAATGTTAATGAAATAATTAAGAAAGGTTTCCTAACCAATTATTTGCTATCTATGATTTAGATATGTGAAATTTATCGTTCAGATAGAAAACTTGTTGCCCTTCAGAAATTCATTTTTTTCCCTGTGCAATATCTTTCGTGGCGGATCCAATAAAATGTGCGAAAAAGTTGATGCTCGGCTCGCGATTGCCATTTATTTTTATTGCCGCACTTACCTGCTACTTAGCGCCTCCCGCCTTCTGGAGCACGTGGGCGTGGCAGTTCGCTACGCGGCGACACAGAAAAGTTTTGAGTTTGAGTTTTGACTTTTGCTCGCTGGGTGCGTTGAATGTTGGAATCCTGTATTGTGTGAGAGTGTGTGTGTAGGAGATGGTTGTGTGTGCGTGAGTGGGTGTGCGAGTGTGCGACTGGCACTTTAATCAGCAATGCCCCAGCTGCTTCTTCTTGGCTTTCGCAGCTTTTCCCGCTTCTCCAGCTTCTCCAGCTTTTCCAGCTTTTCTTGCTGGCTCGTGGAGTAAGCAGGTGTCGCTGGCTGTTGCTGCTCGGCCAGGAATGCCAGAATTGCGAAAGGAAATTCGCGCATAACACTTCCCGGGGGCCATAAAGTCGCGCATATTTATAAGCCGCGCCTGTCTCTCTCGATTTCCATCTAGGCCCTGCTTTACGCCACTTTTTATGGCCCAAACACACATATACATATATACATATACATATATATATATATATATATGTGCATACATGGATTGTTTCGGACCCCAAGCCATTCACACTCCATAGGAACGCCACTTCATTGACATCTTGCAACCTTTCTAGCCAGAGATCTTTGGATCCGTCAGCTGCGCCGCATTTGTTTCGCATTTTGCGTTTTATTGCGCAAAATTGAAGGCGGACTTTATTGCCGACTGGATTTTTTTGCATAAACAGAATTTATGGATATACAATATACACGACCAAAATAAAAAAAAAATTCCCAAAGACGTGACAAACTCTTCGTCGAACGGCGGGCGAAAAAAAAGAAAAGGGAATGCAGAGCCAACGAACCCGGGAGCAAAAGTTTTTAATTTGCTTAGACGCGACCAAAAGTCTGCCGTTCAGCTAGAATTCTGCTCCTGGGAATATCGAGCCGAAGATATAGCCTTCGCAGCTTAAACCAGATTAAATTATCGCATTTTTCTTTATATTTTTATTTTGTCCTGGTCGCCTTGCTCCTGCTTCCCAGTGCCATCGTTGATTCGATTTTTGCTAACCAAAAAGAAAGCAACAATCCAACCGAACAGCAAGCTGAAAAAAAAGAGAACCAACCAAGAAAAAAAAAAAGAAAAAAAGAAGAAAGCAAATCCGTAGGCAGGCGAGAAAAGTTCGAATAAATTGAGTGAAAGTTCGCATTCGCCTTAAACATTTTGCTTTTCTTTTTTTAGGCGACGGCACATGGAATAAACTTGAAAATTTTGCTCCCCATTGGCTCAGGTGTGAATGGCTTTCAATTTTTCCTTTGCAGGCTCGGGAAAATTCTTAAAATAAGTTTTCCATACTGGCAGCTCAGAGAAATGTGAAGCATATTTATAAATGTCGATGGAAATTTGTTAGCCTGCAAAGTTGGGGATCGCAGATCAAACTCTGCCAACTTCTGGCGCTTGTTTAAATTTTAAATTTCTGCTGCACTTTTGAGGGCCGAAAAGAAGTTTTCCACCTTGGCTACTTAATATTTTAAGCTTTTTTTTTATGTGTCAACATAACTTTCTGGCTGCAAGATGCAAATTTAATGCCGAAGTCGGGCAACTTCGGAAGTTGTGAGTTCGTTTGATTTTGCCTTTCCTTTTAAACTTTGAAAGTACAATTAACTATATTTGCAATGAAATAAAAATGTAAAATCAAAATTCTTTGACTGCACAACGTTAAGGCACGTTTTGTATTATACATATACCGCTTTAAGCCTCATAATTATTTTTGACATTTTAAGCTCCCCAGAAAGGGTTATATAATACCATTAACACAAATTTTTAGCTTATTGTTACTGCACCAGGGGTTTTTAATAAAAGAAATTTAGCAATTTTAAAATAATTTTAAATTGTTTCATACTAATTGGCACTCATTTAAAAATATCTTTTTGGCGCATTTTAAAAACATTTTTGTTTTAATTGGGTTAGGCTTGGCAGCAACAGCCTCGAGACTTAAAATGGCTCGTCCTTACACACACACACACACACAATCACACACTCACAAGTGCACACAGGACACTTACGTTTTGAGTTATTGGGGCAGCCCCAAAGGATGCTTAGCTTTTCGCAGCAGCTGCAATCAACTGGAATTCACTTTTCCGCCTGCCGTCTCATTTTCATTGTTTACGTTTTCACTTGTGAATTTCCGCTGGCTGAACTTCTTTCTCTTTCGCTTTGTTTTTGGTTGTTGTTTTTGTTGTCAATTCCAAAAACCCCCCAAAAAAAAACTAACAATAAAAACGGTACACTCACACACACTCAACCGAAAAAAACAACAAACAACAGCTGCAATTGGCGGCGGCACGCGTTTCGCGGCGCGATGCGTTTAAATACCGTGGTTGCTGGTCGCGTGGAGAGAGAGAGAGCGAGAGAGGGGGGATGGGGTAACGGCGGACAGCGGGGGGAGCGGTACCGGATGGCAGGACGAGCCGACCGCAATTGCAATCGGCGATCGCGACCGTTTAATTGCCCCTTTTTAAGCAGATCTCGCGTATGGGATTTTTGGAGCACTTGCAGCTTCGAGATATCAAAATCGAGTTTTGTTGCGTTGCGATGGCGATGCGATCCGAATCAAATCGAACCGAATCGAGTCAAATCCTGCGATTATCCTTTCTCAGTCGCGTGGCACAAACCGCTACGTTCGATAACTTAAACGAAACTGAAACGCCGAGCACTCGAAACTCAAAACTCGGCCAACGATTCGGGTCGCGTCGTTTAGTTCTCGGCCCGACGAGTTCCACAGGCACAGACGTGCACCTTTTGCCAGGACGTACGAAGGATTCGTGAGTGTGTGTGAGTGTATGCGCGAGTTCGGCACCGCTGCTCTACTTCCGTTTCCCGCTCCTGTTCAAGTTGACCCCACTTCGTGCGGCATTTCCGGCGATGCGCAGGCGTGAAGTGGCAATTGTGGATCTTGAATGTGGATTCCATTTACATGGGAGATGAGCAAAATTTCGATAAGCAGCCTTCCAAGATGTTATGTGCGTTTAAACCAATGCAAAAATCATAAGGCAATATAAAAGTTGATTAAAAAAATTGTAAAACACTTGCCTTTTAATTTGCATTTGCTTCCATTTTTCCAGTAAACTGTGAAACTTCTTCCATAATTGTTCTTCCATAAAATCTGCCATTTCCAGTTCACTTCCACAAAATCTGCCATTTCCAGTTCACTCCAAGTTTAACTTAACGATCGCAACGCACCTGCGTTCGCTCTGGTAGTTTAAAAATGACTAAATCCTATTTCAGAGAGTGAATCAAGAGAGAGCTGAAAGTAAAAGCAAAAGTTGCCGGTCAGTTACAGTTTGAAATGTATGGGCAGGTGCTGCGAAACTCTCTCGCTCTCTTGAGAGCAAGCCAAATTCGGCGCTCCATGCGCGTGTGTGCGTTTGTACATGAGAGAATGGAATTCGAGAGAAGATAACGCATCAATTTGCGCAGCAGTTTTAAACGAAAAATTTAACATAAATTGCATTTCTTATCGCAGACTTTTACCGTTGCTTCTAAATATAACTATTCAACGGGTTTTGCTTCTTTCCAGTATAGAGAATTAAAGAATGCCAAATATTCACCAGTTTTTATTTCTGTTTACCTTTTTAAAATGCATTTAATAGAAAAGTGCTTGCCATGTTTAGGCTACTGAATTGCATATTACTTTCATTAATAATAAATACTGGTTTTAAGCAAAACATAATGAGTTTTAATCGAATTAATGAAATGTGATTACACCAAATTTATACAAAAATGGTAAAAATAATATAATACAATTAATAAAGGTTAAATAAAATAATAAATCAAGTAATGTAATAATATTTAAAATGAAAAGGAGGTCAGCATCCACTTTTTATCGAAGGGGCGGGGCATCGCTGGCGGGGCTCCTTGTGGATCCCATTCGGTGTCCGCGGCTCGTGTGGCGCCTCCGAGCGACAGTCGCGGCCGAGTGACTAGCAGCGCTGCAACTGCGGCCGAGCCACGAAGGCGTCCCTGTCCCTTTCGCTGTTGCTCCTGATTCCGATTCCGATTCCGACTCCGATGCTGAGGCTGAGGCTGCATGTCCTCCTGCTCCCGATGATGTTGCCGCCGGACAAGTTCAAGGGAATTTCGCGCGACAAATAAATTACACACGCACCGCCAGCCAGTGCATGCAAATTAAGATGGCAGCCGAGGAACTTGTGTTCCCCCAACTCCACGCTGAGATACTTGGAGCCATTAAAACTCGGCCAGTGTGTCAGATCCTTAACAGCCGTCCCCTCCTCCTGAAATAGGAAGAAACCCGAACAACATAATGCCCACCTGATCTCAGAAATCATATAGAAATATATTCTATGTACCTTGGTTTAATCTTAAGTTAAATATTATATTTGCACAAAATATTATTATTTTTAATTAAACCATTATTTTCAAGTTTGCTATCTCACAAGCAAACCGGAAATTAATAATAAGTAGTTATTTATAATAATTATTTATATTAATTTTATCGTCAATTAATAGCTTATTTGAATAGTTATTAATTGGTAATTCCCGAGAAGAGCGTATCAAAAGAGTATCGAGCTCTTTTGGCCCACATTTTGAATGACAACAAAATGAACAAGCAACCTTGAGATGTAAAAGGAAAATATATGTACGTTGCTTTATTGGAAATCAAGTAAAATGCATTACTGTTTAAGAGTCTTTTTAATAGTTTTTCACCGTGCAGCGCTTTCAGGTTGTTTTCCCTGCGCATTGCACTTTGCTGACTTTGCTTTACTTTTGCTCCTACTTGCCACTCGGATTCGAATTCCTTTGGCGGTGCGGCGGGGAAATCTCTTGTGGCTGCTCACTTGAACGGTTTTCCTCGTTGTTGCTTTTGCTGTTGCTGTTTCAGTTGTTGTTTTTGTTGTTGTTGCTGTTGCTGTTACTGTTGCTGTTGCTGTTCTTGCTGCCTTCGCTGTTTTCCACTGGCAGTCAGTCCTAAGCCCTTTGCACTCACTTCGCTCGGTTCGCGCATCGTCGAGCAGCATCAAGTTGATTTTCGACCACCCAAACCAGCCGAACCACCCGAACCACCCGAACCACCCGAACCACCCAAACCACCCAAACCACCATTCCAAATAACCACTCCTCCCCCCTCCGCCGAAAGTTGTCATTAAAAAATTGCACTCAGCGAGCCAAAAGCACTGCAACTCTGTTGCATGCAGGTGGGCAAAAGTTGCTGGTTTGGGGTTGCAACTTGCTGGTTGAGGGAATGCGGCATAAAAAAAACAACAACAACAACAACAACTACAGAAACAGCAAGAAAAAATAAAAACAAGTGCAACAACATCAAGGCTGCCTTCGGAGAAAACTTTCTGCATTTATGCGAAACGCCGCAGCAGCTGCAATGAATTCATCCATCCCACCTTCCTGCCACCAAGTCCTCTATCTTGCAATTCGCGGGGGGAAGAGGGGAAAGGGGGATAAGAGGGGAAGGGGGAAAAACCCCCCGTCCTGTAGATACTTCGTCCTCTTCGAACCGACAGTCAAATCGCGGCAGTCCCCTCTATGAGCCATTAAGGTCTCATTTAAATCAAGAGCAGTCTGCTAAGCGTCCGCCATCAAGTGTATTATAGTTTTGCCACGCATTTCTCCTACCCTTCAGCTATGTATTTTTTATTTACATTTCTTTCTCTTTTTTTTTTTTGAGTTCTATTTTTTTTTTTTTTTTTTTTTTTGCTTTTGCCCTTTCACAGTTGGGGAATTTGTGAACGCACACATGTCCATGAACTTTTGTATCCCCTGTGGAATGCGTTCTTCAATAAGCAAAATACTTGTATTTCGAGGCTTTCACAAAAATGAAAACACTAATTTTAAATTATTTCTGTGTGGGTGTGTGTGTGTGTGTGTGTGCGTCCCTGAACTTTCGCCTCCCAATGGAATCTATTTGTCGATAATCAAAAGTAATAATTTTACTTGAGAAATCTGAAAGGGAAAGAATCGATTTGAATTTGATTTGTTTGTTGAGGATGTGGCTTAATTTTTGATTTATAACTTAAAGTTGCTTGTATTTTAATAATCCTTGATTTCTTGTTTAAAACTAAACGAGTTAGAAAAGTTCTTAGCCAAACAAGAATGCTTGTATTATTATTTTAAATATATATATATTTTGTTCACTGATTAAATCTGCCACTCTGGCAGTGGCATTATCCTCTTTTTTCTTAATCGATGAAGTTGACACCACCTGCGGGTTAAGTGTATTCCAGATTCGTGGGAGCTGCTCTCTGCTGCTCCTTTTGGCTTGCCTTTTTTGTTTTTCGAATGGCTTTTGTGCTGTTGCTGGTTGTTTCTTATCCGCCGAGCATGGCTCCTGCCGCCATTGTCCTGGCCGCCTCCTTTGTTTCAGTGCAACAGCCACGAAATGCAACTACGTTGTTGGCCAGGGGGATGCGGATGCGGATGGCAATGGTAATGGGGATGGGGATGGGGATGGGAATGGGGAAGAAGAAGACGAAGACGCGGCATTGTCAGTGACGACGTTCACCTGAACGCCTCCTGTCGCCTCCTGATGCTCCTTTCGCCGCCGCCCCTCCGACTCCCCGCTTCCTCGATTCCCGATTCCCGATCCCCGCGTCCCAAGTCCCGCATCTGCAACATCTTCGTTTCGTCTCGGTGCTCGGTACACGGAGAAAAACATTTAACTTAAATTATGTTCGGTACCATAGCATTCCTTTATATAAAATTCCAAATTTATTGCCATTCAAGTAAAGCTAAAATTTTGATTGTAAAAAAAAAATAAAAAGAAAAAAATAAATAAAAGACAAAAAAACGTTTTAAATTTATTTAAATGATATTAAACAAAGAAAACAGCTATAGTAATATAACAGTTTGAGTTAACAGTATCTGTTCTATTCAAAATCTTGTCTCACCCTTAAGCTAATATAGCCATTTTTCTCTCAGTGTAACTGCCAAAAGACGATGCTGCGCGTGGCTCCTTGCGACGCTGCCTTTCAACTTAAGTGAAATAAAATACAATTTATTTGTATATTGTTTTGCTGTTGACAATTGCGCGACTGCAGAGAGCAACTTCTTCGCGGGCGAGAAAGGGGTGTGGGTCTGTATTTTCGGTGGGCGGAAGGGGGTGTGGTGCGGCAGTTGGAGGTGAGTGGGTGGTTGGGCGCGTGGCATGTGCCTCATTAGTGCTACATTTTCGGGCGGGCGTCCATTGTCTTGGATTGCCTCCCAAGTGGCAACTGGACGACGTGACGATGCGCACATTTAATTGCGTTTTGGGTTTGATTAAACAGAAAGCAACAGAAGCAGCAGTTGCCAACATCGGATGCTCGAAAGTGGGCCAAGTTTTTTCAGCATTGTTCGAATTCAAAAATTCCCCATGCAAAAAAATAGTCCTCTATACAAGGGCTATCATTATCACGAATAATGCGAACCATATTCTGAAGAGCCACTGGCAAATAGAATAGATAACCGACATCAACGTGGCGTATACGTGATATAGATTCCCACTATTTAAGGTTTTAAGTGCAACGAAAAGAGTTCGAAATATTTCACTAATTCTTTCGCTTGCTAAAAATAATACTTTAGAAGAGGGATAAAGTTCTCTCGCTAAATAATGACGGAAAAAACAGCTGCCAAAGCGGCGTATACGTGATATTATAGTAGTTAACGAGCTTTAAATTTAATCTGCTGATTATCTGCAGCGTACCTGGTATTATTTGTTTTTTTACAATATTCCATTACAATTAATTTTTAATTTAAATGCGTAAGCTTTTAGAAATGCCTATAAAAAACTTATTCCAATAAAACAATAAATCTAATTTTTTATGAACCCAGTTCTTGCTCAAATTTAAAAATAAATATTTGTTTACAAATAGAATACTCCATGCTTTGATTAATGTATGACTGCTGTTAAAAATAATTTCAAATATTCTGCATTTACATGCGGTATTTTCAAGCCCATTAGCTAATAATGTTTCGTATTTTTCAGACAACTTCTTTCGCACCAAAGTGCCATTCCCCACAGCGTTTTTGAATTTTTAGGGGCGACATTCGATGGTAATCAATCATTGCAAATGGCACGGTAAATGCCACAGTCCGAGTGAAATTAATATTTTAAAGGCAACCGGAGCAAACAAAGGGGCTTGCTCATATTTGGAAATCGATTTACCTTAACCAGAGAATTTCGCAATAATAGAATGCAACATCGTTTGAGGCGAAGACCAAGATCATCGATTTAAGCC